TATATATATTTTTTTATAAAAATATCTTTTACAAAAAAAATGAATTTTTTTCCTTACAGAGTATAATCATGTCATAATGTAACATAAAAATACTACACTTATATAATTAGCAATTATTTTAAGAATATATACAAATTTTTAGAAGTGTCAAATATTAACGTGATATATCACTAGTAGTCATAGTAATACTTTAAAAAATTATTTAACCTTTTAATAAATAAAAAATAGTTAAAAATAATTATATATATAAAATAAAGACTATAAATAATAATTTGTATTTTAGAAGAATGAAAAACAAAAAAAAAATAAAAAACAAAATCAAAACTAATCAATTTTATAAGAAATAAAAATGTGTTTAAACTTAAATGTTTCTTTTTTAAAATTACATATTAAAGAGTGAAAGAAATATTATTTTAAAATATTATATACTATTAATTATCTTAATTTTCTCGGTAATTAATATGAATAGTTAATGGTGTATTTTTTATTAGTTATAACTAGCTCATTTTATCAAATAGTTAATGATATATTAAATTTTTAAAAAATACTTATTTTTAATAAAATTTGATATAAATATATAAAATAATATAAAATTATAATTTAATAATTAAATTTATAAAATTTATTTTTAATAATTTTAAAATTAATAAGTAGTATAATAATTAATAAAAAATTACATTATAAACCCTAAACTATACGATGAAAGGTTCTGCTGCCCACTACGGAAAGATATATGTACAGATAAAGTTGCTGTCAAGAGTGAATTAGGATTAACAACATAGAAAACGACAATTCCATCATTTCTTACGGCAGTGGCAATTGGTTCTCTCATACCATGTTATCCACCAAGTGTCTTTGGATGCACATTTTGGCAGGGCAACGCAAGTTTTTTTTTTTTTTTTTAATTGTAATTCTTTATCTTTATATATGTTTAAAAAATTTCATTTTCATATAATTCTACATATAAAAATCAATTTTAACCCAATATTGATAAAGATTACTTCTATATTTTAAAAAATTGATTTTGATCAATATTAATAAATAATGAAAATCAATTCTATAAACATAGACCAAAGATCCAAACACGCACTAAAAGAACCAATTATCAAACACGAATCTCCCCAATCACAAAGGAGAGAAGGGGAATAATCACGCCAGCTAACAACATTAAAGTACAGATTTACGTCTACATTTTCTCCTTTTTTGTATTTAATTTACTTGGATCTAAATTATTTAGCATGTCTCTTGTGTATTTCTTTTTTTAATTCACATATTAAGACACGTTAATTCTAATCCAAAAGCAAAACATGTCAGATAAAATATTAAAAAAATCTAATGTGTCTTATTATTTATGTAAAAATTGTCTGTAGCAGAAAACTGAGCATGGTCTAATGATATGGAGAAAGCAAAGCAGAAGATGTGGTACGTATGGAACATCATTAGAATTGTAGGACATACAATTTCGATGATACTTACTAACCATATAAAATCCGCCCTTCAGTCAAATATCTTCCTACTTTTGATTATACTGTGCTGACTGAAAATGTTAGATAGATAAAGTTAAGGAAGTTTGGTAAAGTGTAACCAGAATTTCTACTCGGTAATTGATAAGTTGTATACGTGATACTAGAGTGACATGAAAACAAATGAAACAGTAGTATTGTTGTTCTTACAAGTCATCTTTGGCCACACGATAATATCTCTCTGCATGATCCTTCATTTTAGGGCAGATAAAAGCACATTAATTCGTAATTAATTCATTACTGAGATCAGGGTTTGGATCAATAAATTTTAAAAAGAAGCAAAATCCTGCAATAACATAATTGTTGTGTCATCTTCAAGATTTCAAATCCTACCATCCATTACTAATTTATTACCTTCCAATAGTGGATCTTGAGAAAATATTTTGAAGTGGTGAAATTTTTTAGATAAATATAATTTAAATTATTATATATATATAT